ACTATACTTGAAATTTAGACCCCACTGAGACTGAATTTTTTATGCTTTCAGTTTTCAACACAGATTTGTGGTTCAAAGGACTGGCTTTTAACACAAAAAATTGCCAACCAAAGCCTCAAGCTCTGTTCTCATTTGATAAAAATCAAGTCTTTCTGTAGCAATCACAAATCTCTAATTGGCCTTAAAGTAATGGATTATATGGGGCCAGCACTGTGGCGTAGCAGGTAAAGCCGCTGCCTAGAGTACCGGCATTCCATATGGGCACCGGTTCGAGTCCCAGCTGCTCCACTTCCGGTCCAGCTCTCTGCTATGCCTGGGAAAGCAGTAGAAGATGGCCCAAGTCCTTGGGCCCCTGCACCCGCGTGGGAGAGCTAGAGGAAGCTCCTGGCTCCTGGCTTCGGATCGGAGCAGCTCTAGCCATTGTGGCCATCTGGGGAGTGAACCAGTGGATGGAAGACACCTCTCTCTCTGCCTCTCCTTCTCTCTCGGTGTAACTCTTTCAAATAAACAATTAAATCTTTAAAAAAAAGTAATAGATTATAAAGGACCCTAAAGCAAACATATTTTCTTTGAGAGAGTATTAACGATCAACAAAGTACCCTATAAACTAATGAGCCTTCTCCCCAAAGTATTCTGGAAATAATGCTCACATCTGATTCTTGGCCATCAACGCAGCTACCTGCCAAACACTTGTCAGAACTACCTTACAATCCTTTTTACCAGCTATTTTATAGATATAAAAATATAAAGACATCCCCAGACAGATCTCAGTCTTCATTTCCCCACTACATCTCCTTTTGTCAAAGCACATACATCCAAACCCGCAGCCAGAGACCTGGCTTGGCCTTCAGACAGTAGATAAACCATTGTATCATGGTGTTACAGAGAAGCTAGAAGGAGGGAGCTGAGGAGGAAGTCCAAGTGCTCCCTCCTTCGTGGCTGATGGGGAAGTTCAAAAGGTAAACTGAATCTGTCAACCCAGCCCCACCCCAAACCACCATAAAAATTCTACACCAGGCTTCTTTCCTGTTCTTTCAATCTATTTTTATATCTGCTTGAGAATTACATGCAGTACAGAAAAGGAAGAAGGAAAGTTTAGACTTAAAAGTATTAACAATATTAAAAAATGGATTAAGGAAGCAGGTGTTTGACCTGGTAGTTAAGATACCTGCATCCCACATCAAAGTACCTGGGTCCAATTCTTGGCTCTGTTAGGTAGGAAGTCAGATATGAGCTTATGTGTGTGTGACGAAGGCCTAAGGAGACATTTGGGTCCAGCATCTACATCTCATAGTCATCCTGATAACGTTTCAGGGGCAGCCCAGTATTTGCATCCTGCCCTGCTCCTTCTACCCGATAACCTGCCAGGTGGGAGCCCCTGCCCCTTCTGCCTGATAATCTTCCAGGTGCAGCCCAGTATCTGCACTTCAAATGCCCTTAGCCCCTTCTACTAGATAACCATCCTTCCTCTAAGGCTCCTTTAAGGCAGGGCAATGCCGGTCAGGTTTCCCCGTCTGATAACTTCAGGGGGAAAACTGAGATAGGAGTTTTTCTATTTACATACAAAAAGTCCTTTGTTCCAGGAGGAGCAGAGGTGGGGAGGCAAGGCCCATCCCCTTAAAAACCCCCGGCCTCAACCGGACTGTGCGCAGAGCCCTCTCTCTGCTGAGCTGCCCACCTGGCCTGCCCAGGTGTAATCTCTCCACTCAACCATGTAACCCCGCTCTCCCCCAGTCTGAGCGACTGGACACACTCTCTCAGGTTCTGTCTGGAGAGGCGCCCATCCGTTCTTATGGATGTCCCTACCCTAATAAACCTTGCTATTTTTACTTTCTACTACTCTCTCACGCCTGAATTCTTTCTTGCACAAAGACAAGAACCCTGCCATTGACCAGTAACAGCTCCATCTCCTAACTCCAGCTTCCTGCCAGTGAAGACACTGCGAGGCAGCAGCAATGCTTCAAGTAACTGAGCTCCTGCCACCCACATGAGATAGGCGGATTGCATTTTAAGTCCTCAGCTTCAGCCTCAGCCCAGCCCCAGGTAGGCCACTGCACACATCTGGGGAGTGAACCAGCAGATGAGATCTCTCTCTCTCTCGCTTGCTCTCACTCTCGGCCTCGCTCTCTGCCTCTCAAACAAATAAATTTCTTCAAAAAAACTGTAAATATATTCAGGCTTTTTATTTCGAGGAGGATCTCTTACCCACAAAGTACAGCTATACAAGGCATTGATATAGCAGTGACAAACTATTAATACATCATATATAGAAAGAGCTTTAAATACCAGGGAGCAAGCATTCAGCCTAGGAGTCTCACATCATAGGACATGATTCCACCTTCCTGCTAATGCAGACCCTAGGAGGCCGAGGTGATGGCTCAAGTAAATTAGGTTCTTGCACCCACGTGGGAAACCTGGGAGCTTTGAGTTCCCAGCTCCCAACTTCAGTTTGGCCCACCTTAGCAGTTGCAGGCATTTAGGGAGTGAGCCAGCAGACTCTGTTTATCGACCTCTAAAATAAGTAAATATTTTTTAAAAAAATAGTCTCTTACCTCACCCTCACTGTATATTTAAAATGTGTATAGAATAAAGACCAACAGCACTATAAGAGTTCACAGAAAGAAATGTAAATGATTTTAGCCATATGAAAAAAATCCAAGCTTGCTCAAAGAGATCTATAAATTAAAACCACACAAAGATATGATTTGTTGCTTATCAGATGGGAAAAACTAAAAACATTAGTAATGTGCTCTGATAACAAGATTGTGGGGAAATAGGCATACTCATAAAATGCTGGTAGGACTACAAAATGGCACAACTCCAATGGAGGGACATTTCCCAATATCCAGAAAAATCATATATGCATTTAGCCTTTGACTCAGTAGTCTGTCTGGAAAAAAAATACATATAAAGACATGCAGGAGGCTACTCAAAGAAGAAATATCTATAATAGCAAAAAACTAAAACATCCCAACATAGGACTGGCTAAATAAATGATGACACACTCACACACTCTAGTAGTACATCTGTATACTCTAAATACTTCCACAGAGTAATGACCAGGATATACACATATCAGTTAGGACAAAAGCAAGGTAGAGCCATCACAATACCTGATTCCAAGACATACTACAGGGCAGTCAAAAACAAAATAGCCTGGTACTCACGGGAAAACAGACCTGCAGACCAACAGAACAGAATAGAAACTACAGAAATCAACTACAGATATCAATCCTGTCCAGGGAAACATGCCCTCACAGGGGCCTGTCCACTCATGTTCACAGCGTGGAGTGACTGGGGAGTGACAGCACCCAGGTGTCCATCAATAGGTGAATGTGCTGTACCTATATAATGGAATATTGTTTGGCAATAACAAGAAGGAAGTTGAGGGGTCAGTGCTGTGGTGCAGCAGGTAAAGCCGCTGCCTGCAGTGCTGACATCCCATGTGGGCGCCAGTTCAAGTCCAAGCCGCTCCACTTCCAATCCAGCTCTCTGCTATGCTCTGGGAAAGCAGTGTAGGATGGCCCAAATCCTTGGGTCCCTGCACCACATGGGAGACCTGGAAGAAGCTCCTGGCTTCCGATCGGCACAGCTCCAGCTGTTGCGGCCAACTGGGGAGTGAACCAGTGGATGGAAAACTGCTCTTTCTCTCTCTATCTCTTCCTCTCTCTCTCTCTTTCTCTCTATCTTTCTATTTCTCTCTCTCTCTCTCTTTCTGCCTCTCCTTCTCTGTGAAATCTGACTTTCAAGTAAATAAATAAATCTTTAAAAAAAAAGAAATTATGGTTTTATATATACACTAATATACACTATGGAGTACTACTCAGCTATAAAAAAAGAAAAAAGAAATTCTGTCTTTTGCAACAAGATAGTCACAATCGAAAATAGTTATACTTAGTGAAATAAACCAGTCCCAAAAAGACATATATTTGCCCTGATCTAATGTAACTTATAGAATACCTGAAATGTAATATATTGGAATGAAATAGTCATTTTGAGAATAGATTATTATTTATAGCCCTTGTCTCTTCCATTGAGAAAAAATGTTTTGTTTTCTTTCTCTTCATATTATTCACTTAACTCCTTTACTTAGACTAAGGTTAACTATATGATCATTAAATATACTGAAAATAGATCACTGTAAAAATTAAGAATAGGAATCTGAGAGGGAGGGGAATGAAGGAATGGAGAGTGGGATGAAGAGTGGGTGGAATGGAGGGTACGGCAGATGTCTCACTATGTTCCCGAATCTGTATATATGAAATATATGAAACTTGTATAACTTAAATAAAATTTAAAAAATAAAGCTATATTAGCATAGAAAAAATAAAACAAAGTAAAAAGAGGCCTTAACTTTAGAAACACATCTTGAAATGGCCTGGCAATTGCCTCAAAATTCTCTGGTCTGAGAGAGGATACAGAAAAACACAAATCAGGGGCCAGAGTTATGGCGTAGCAGGTAAAGCTACCACCTGTAGTGCCATCATGCCATATGGGCACCGGTTCTACTCCTGGCTGCCCCACTTCCAATCCAGCTCTCTGCTGTGGCATGGGAAAGCAGTGGAAGATGGCCCAAGTCTGTGGGCCCCTGCACCAGCGTGGGAGACCCAGAAGAAGCTCCTGGCTTTGAATTGGCACAGCCATTACAGTCATTTGGGGAGTGAACCAGTGGATGGAAGACTTCTCCCCCTCTCTCTTTCTCTCTCTCTGCCTCTGCCTCTCTATAACTCTGATTTTCAATAAATAAAAATCTTTAAAATAAACAAATCATTGCTGTATGCTAGGTACATAAGGGTTTGTTATATTGGGAAACAGGTGTGGTTGCATCTACATTTCCAATTCTGCAAAACAAAAACATTTCTAACAAATATTCCTTTGTATTTGACTGAATATCTACATATACTGGCAAGAAGGTCACATGAGCAGAGAGTAAAGTTATCAAATGTTCAATACATCCATCTGGGTTTCTTCTTTCTTTCAATTGTGATGCCAACATTCACTTGTTGTATCTACACTATATGGTCTTCAATAAGGCCATTATCACCAACCAGAAAGTGAAGTTTGCATTTATTTATACAAGTATACTTCAATTACACGTTATTTCATGAAAGAAAACTAGACTCAGTCCATATCAATGTGGCAGGTTACAACAGTCAAGGATATGCTGTTATTCTTCAAAATTAAAGTATAAAAAGAATAGTTTATGAATTTTTCTTCCAGACTCTACTATCTCAGTGTTTGTTTAGTCTTCAGCTTGGTAAAATGCAGGCACACAGAAATCAAATCAATATCTCTTGTGGCCAGTGCTATAGCTTAGCAGGTAAGCCGATGTTTGCAGTGCCAGCATTCCACATGGGCGCCAGTGTGGGTCTTGGCTGCTCCACTTCTGATCCAGCTCCCTGATAATGTGCCTGGGAAAGCAGTGGAAAATGGCCAAAGTTCTTGGGTCCCTGCACCCATGTGGGAGACCTGGAAGAAGCTCCTGGCTCCTGGCTTCATCCTAGCCCAGTCCTGGCCATTGCAGCCATCTGGGGAGTGAACCAGAGGATGGAAGATAGATCGATCAATCGATCGATCGATCTATCTTTCCTTCTTTCTCTCTTTCTTTCTCTCACTCTCTCTCTCTTTCTCACTTTCTCTCTCTTTCTTTCTTTCTTTTTTTCTCTCTTTCTCCCTCTCTCTCCTTCTTTCTCTGTATCTCTTTCACATGAATAAATAAATCTTTTTTAAAAAAATTCCTCTCAGCTTGCATCATACATGATGCCTATCTATCTGACGACAGCCCAGAAGGACAGACATGTGGGGAAGTGTTGGCCAATTTTCCTCCTGTGTTTTAAATTCTCTCAGAAAAACCAGAGGAGACTTGAGAAAAAAACCAGAGGAGACTTGAGCCAAAGAAAATGAGCAAGAGTTTGAACCTCTACATCATAGAAAACAAAAGGAGACATGGTATGCTGGCTGCTGAGAAGGCGATGTCCCGTCCTTGCTACAGTTTAAGGAGGAAGCAATCCAAGGTCTCCCATTGGTGCTGTGCTCCACTACTTCAGGAACTGCGTCAAATAATAAGGTACAGGCTCTGGACCAAGTTCCCCTAAATCTCCATTTAACCTCTTTGAAATGGAAACATGATTTTCCAAATGTCATAGACAATTGTTTTTAGGCATGGTTTGTACTTGATAAGAAATTCAACCTTGGAGGAAAACAAATTGAAATCACAAAAGATTGTGGTCCTCATTTTGTGTGAACTATTTCAAGCTGTGTGCAGTCCCATCAGCTGAAAACAATGTCCAGGGGCCCCATGCTCTCACCTGAGATGAAGGAACTGGGATCAGGCTGAAGGGATCGGAACTGGTTGACGTAGTACTCCCGCTGTTCTTCTGTTATCCTCCAGGGCTCATCAGGGTAATTACTGTTGTGATCCTGCAGTTCTCTCTCCACTGAAAAGGACTTTGAAAACAAACACATGAGCAAATGTTTAGAGAACCTGTCTTTAGTGAGATGAAGCAGGAAAATTAAACACCAGTAAAATTATAGTGTATATTTATACTTAATTTATCCTAGAGGAAATAAATTGGACTACTTAATAACCAGAATGTGACTGGAACATAAACTTAAGAGCCAATATCATACTTGATTCTTTCTTTTTTAATGCCCCAAAGTTAACAGGACTGAGAACTTGGATACTGTCAAAATTTTTTTCCAATGTAATGAATGAAGGGTTTTTTTTAAAAAAAATTAAAAAGAAGACAATCTGTGATTGGTGCTTTGGCTTAAAAGGTTAGGTCTCTACCTGCAGCACTGGCATCCCATATAGGTGCCAGTTCAAGTCTTGACTGTTCCACTTCCAATCCATCTCCCTACTAATGCACCTTGGAAAGCAGAAGATGCCCAAGTGCTTGGGCCCCTGCACCCACATGGGAGACCTGGAAGAAGCTCCTGGCTTCGGACTGGCCCAGCTCCAGCCGTTGTGGCCATTTGGGGTGTGAATCAATGGAAGATCTCTCTCTCTCTCTCTCTCTCTCTCTCTCTCTCTGCCTTTCAAAAAAAATGAAATAAAAAGATTCACAAATAGATTTGAGGTTTGAAAAAAGACAATCTTTCTTCTCTTCAACTATCATCACATTTTGATCCTTTCAGATTATCTGAGTAGACAGTAAAATAATGTGAAATGCTTTTTAACCCACAGCGGTGGGAATACCACAGCAGCTGTAACCACATGATCTTTTTCCGTGGCATTCACCCTGCAAAAATCTAGGAGCCAAAAGCTCTGGTTAAAAATCCACATCCCCTGCTCCTACTAGAATGGCAAGTCAGGACCACTAACCCTCTCATCTCACATTTGTGAACTGAGGATCATAATCAGAGACTAGAGCTGGGTGGTGAGAACAGTTGCTGAAATACCACAGTAAGCCAGATAAGGTGGGAGGAGGGGGCATCAAACCTGCCACTAGAGGGCGGACATGTCAAATCTGAGGATTTAAGAGTCCAGAAAACCAGGGAGGTAGTGGAGGAGAAACAAAGCTCTGTTCCATGCAGTAATGCTTGGAGAAAAGCAAAAGCAGTGATGCAGGGAGGAAGAGCAAGGGCTTTGTTCCATTCGTCCCATCTATCCTAAGGCTAAGGCACCATTTGCCAAGGTCCTCCCTCATGGAACCAAGAGATAAACACAGGGTAACTCAAAAACTAAGAGCTGGGGGTAACTGCTAAAGAGCCACAAAGTTGCCTGCTTCTGAGCACACTGTCAAGGAATTAACCATTAGGAGAGCACTCTAAGAAAGCCCACCATGTCCTTCCCTACCACTATCACACACAATACCATTCCCCAAATTAATTCCTCTCAGAAACCCATTTCCCCCATGATGATGCTTAGAGATGAAACTGTAAGTTTGAGCTGCAATATATCCAGGACATGTCATCTTTTAACTAAAATATCTATGACTTTGACATCTGCAACTTCAGGCTCAGGATTTTTTGGGAGGGCCAGGTGACTGAGATGAAACACCACCTATACAATGTGTATTCCCACGGATGTTGAGTGAGCATATACCCAGCAAAGAAGCCACTCCTCAAGGAAAGACTCTGGGACCTTTGGCATAGTCAGAAGAAAGATAACAAAAGGAGGCTGGTGCTGTGGTGTAGTGGGTAAAGCTGCTGCCTGCAGTGCTAGCATCCCATATGGGTGCCTGTTCAAGTCCTAGCTGCTCCACTTCCAATCCAGCTCTCTGCTATGGCCTGGGAAAGCAGTAGAAGATGGCCCAAGTCCTTGGGCCCCTGCACCTATGTGGGAGACCCAGAAGAAGCTCCTGGCTTCGGATCAGTGCAGCTGCCCATCTTTGGTCATTGCAGCCATTTGGGGAGTGAACCAGAGGATGTAAGATTTCTCTCCCTCCCTCCCTCCCTGTAACTCTACCTTTCAAATAAATAAATAAATCTTAAAAAAAAAAAAGTCCAGGGGCCAGCGCTGTGGTGTAGCAGGTAAAGCCACCACCTGCAGTGCTGGCATCCCATATATGCGCCGGTTCAAGTCCCGGCTGCTCCACTTCCCATCCAGCTCTCTGCTGTGGCCTGGGAAAGCAGTGGAAGATGGCCCAGGTCCTTGGGCCCCTACACCTGCGTGGGAGAACTGGAAGAAGCTCCTGACTCCTGGCTTCGGATCGGTGCAGCTCTGGCTGTTGCAGCCAATTGGAGAGTGAACCAGCATATGGAAGACCTCTCTCTCTCTGTCTCTGTCTCTCCTTCTCTTTCTGTGTAACTCTGACTTTCAAACAAATAAATAAATCTTTTTTAAAGAAAAAGTCCATGAAGTCACTATCCATTAATTAATACTTTACATTCATAGAATGCTTTGAAATCCACAAAGCCTTTCACACATCCCTTCCTCACTTGAGCATCTCAGGACATTTGAGAAGTAGGCATAGGAGGTAGTACTTGCTCTAGTACTTTCCTCTAGATGAGGAAACCAAGGTTCAGAGAGCTTAAGGGATTTGTCCATATTCATTATTCAACCCCTGAAGGGGGAAAATAATGGCCCTCTCTTTTTTTCATCTCTTCTTCAAAGTCAGGTTCTTGTATATCAGGACTTTTTAAACTGGGCTGCATCTATCTGAATTTTTTTAAAAAAATACTTTATCATTCTAGTAATAAATAATACTTTATCATTCTAGTAATAAATAAACAACACAAATAAAGGAAACAAGGAAGATCCAAAGTCAGTGTAAGCACTCAACAGACTATACAACTTTGCAAAATGCTCTTATCAAATTCCAAAGCCGTGCCTTGACAGCATCTTGGAAGGAATCCAGACATGTGACTGAGTTTGGAAGTAGATCCCAGGAGGGATATCAGTTAATGGATTGGCAGCCAGCACCATGGCTCACTTGGCTAATCTTCCACCTGCAGCACCAGTACCCCGGGTTCTAGTCCCGGTTGGGGCGCCAGGTACTAGTCCCAGTTGCTCCTCTTCCAGTCCAGCTCTCTGCTGTGGCCTGGGAGTGCAGTGGAGGATGGCCCAAGTGTTTGGGTCCCTGCACCCGCATAGGAGACAGGGAGGAAGCACCCGGCTCCTGGCTTCGGATCGGTGCAGTGCCGGCCGCAGCAGCCACTTGGAGGGTGAACCAACGGAAGGAAGACCTTTCTCTCTGTCTCTCTCTCTCACTTCACTGTCTAAAACTCTGTCTCTCTCTCTCACTGTCTAACTCTGCCTGTCAAAGAAAGAAAGAAAGAAAGGAAGGAAGGAAGGAAGGAAGGAAGGAAGGAAGGAAGGAAGGAAGGAAGGAAGGAAATGGCCTCCTGGCTGTACTGTAATGTAGAAAACTCACAGAAATCCTACACTCCAGGTCAGCACTGACAGAAAGAGCTAGAGCAAAGGAACCTACACAGCTGGGTGTGGCAGCAGAGACCTACACATGCTTCTGAGTGAATGATTAAGTGGACAAAGATGGTTCATGAGGCAGACAGAGCACAGGTTGAGGTAGGTCCCAGCACCTCCCAGCAAATGAAGGTACAGAAAATTCCAGGGTGCTGGCCTGCTGCATTCCCTAGCTCTGATATGGAAGCTAATATTCCCTGGGATACATCCCTTCTATCCACTGAAGCAAGAAAGTGCCTTATGTGGTGGCTGTGGGCATTGAACATGCATTAGGGAGCCCTTCAGGTGGTGGCAGAGAAAGCAAGTCCTGACCAGAAGCACAGCAGGGCCATGATGTAGGGAAAGGACCAGGTGGGACATAGAGTTATGAGGGAACAAGAACCAAGGATCGGCAGAAGCTATGAGGTATGCGAGGAAGCAAATAAAGATGAAGAGGTAAGGAAGGCTATCAGCAGCTGAGATAAGGGGACAGTGAAGCAAACTTGATATAATAGGGCAAGGTCCAATAATGGCAGAACAAGTAAAACCAACCAAAAACTCCCACCCCTAGGAACCAGCAGGCTACTTCTTGGCTCTCATTTCTTGAATTCCCCTTGAATTCTTCCTCTTTTCCAAGAAAAATTAAGTTGGCAAGGACAGTCTCTATTCCCTAGAACTAAAAAAGTCTAACTACAAAAGGAGAGGGCATATGAACATTGTGTAACCCATACATAGCATGGTCCTCCTACCAACTCACAGTAAGTGTGGTAACCTAGTCCCAACTCTTTCCCTTTGCTTCTCACTCTAAGTTTTACATTGATTAATAAGCCAAATGATTTGTTATGTTTTAAATTAATTAATAAACCAAATGATTGGAGAACATTTTTAAAACATGACCTCTATGATAACCATGATAAATACTACAGTTTAAACGTGTAAAGTGTTCCCAGATATCTTGACCCAGGTTTCAATTTGGAATGCTAGAGTCACATCAGATAATCCTTCATCCCACATACAGTCCCTAAAAGGTACATCACAAATACTGAAAGCATCTAAAAGTGTGACACTAGAATAGGTATATCCCAGATACTAAAAGTGCAAAGTCCACTTACTGCGAGGCTTAAGTAAGGTCAGGGATGCGTCATATTGACAAGAGATGTATAAACATTGCTCTACACTGTTCTCAATTAAATAAAGCCTATTAGTTTATTTCCTATCTGAAAGTTCACAATCTATGTAAATTAGTCCATGTCTACCATCCTATAGTTCACTCACAGACTGATATCCATAGTGGGGGTGGTTCAAGTTCCATATCAATTAAGTAAGCATTTCCAAGACAGGTAAGGGCATAGAGAAGAAATAAATGGTATTCCACATACCATGACACTGAAAGATTCCAAAAGACAGTGCAACCACTACAAAAAGCAAAGTGATTTGAACTTTACTGCATAAATGGTGACTTCTTCATTCACTCAGTCAACAGACATATATTGTATGCCAACAATATCCCAGACACTAGTCACTACAGATACACCAACGGGCAAACAGATTCTCTTTCCCAGGAAGTCTGTTATCCAGTAAGGAAGAAAGACATACAGAC